GCTTTAATATGCATTTTTTTTGCTATTTTGAAGCTATTGAGTTGTCAGTAGTAGGTGTAAGGTGATAATTTTGAATGCATGCCCGGAAAAATTTACCTCTTATCTTGGCCTCTTAAATATACAAAGAAGTAACTTCTTACCCCAGATATCAACGAGCATCACAAGTTTTTCTCAAAATTGTAGTAATGGTAGTTGGTTTGCAACATGTATGGCTAATCAGAGATATTTATTTCAATAATAGGAAATCACCAGGATTCACTAACGAATGCAGAAGCAGCCATTGAGTTAAATCCAACTTTCCTTAAGGCAATTGTGAGAGGTTAGATATGTTAGCTGTACCATAATAATAATAATAAAAAAAGAAATCAACACTCTAAGGTTAAATGAGGTTAAATAGAGTTCAATCTTGTCTCAATGGGCTTTAATTAAGAGGTCGAGACCACCCTGATGTACATTTGAATCCAGCTCTTGACTGCTACGCCATTACTTCCATTAATCATGATGAGAATATTATTTTGAACGGGATGAAGAACTCAATGCGGAATGCAGAGCAAAATTTCAGCATGAATATTTTAGTTCCTTAAGTTCAATGAGTCACCGGTGTCAGATATGTTAAGAGCGTGTCCACGAGAGCACCGGACAGTCGTGCTATATGCCATCTCACCGATTTCAATGAAACTTTGCCAGTTTAAAGGGTCTTCCCCAAAACTCCAAAAAACAGCCTGATTTCTGTTTTGGTTCCAGGGGGAGATAGACCACCCCCCGCTTTTTCTTGGTTTTCACCAAGGAAATCGCTTCAAATAGGTAAAATGTATGAAGCTTTAACTGCGATGGTATTTAACCGATTACTTTGAGAATTTGCACACATATTTTTACATCCTTAGTTAATGGCCGCCGCGAGTATCAGTCAGTTTGATCGACGGCTTGTCAATCAACAGAGGCAAATATACGACTGTGTTTTTAGACTTTTCGATTCATTTCATTCTTTTTTAGCTCTTTATACAGGATGATTGATCAAGAAAGGTGAAAATTGTGAAAAACTTTCGAGAAAAACTTTCGCGATATATGTAGACGAAAAATCAATGGGAAAATCGTAGCGTTTCTTTCTTCGGTCGTTTATTACTTTGAAGATTTGCTAAAATGAGCAGATATGGCTTTTGTACGGCACAAAACATTCATTAGTCTATAATTTGATTGCATTTTAAAGTCACATGCTGCGTGTTGGCTGATATTACTACATGTTCCAGTGTGCTACAACTTCGGCTTTCACAGACGAGAAATTATGCGCTCTCGCTAGAGAGCAAATATAAATTGTTCTATTGGACTAAAAACTGTGCTTCTATCCCGAAAATAAAATTAAAATAGTGTTGACGTTGTCACTTACCGCCATCGAACATTCACATACAGAACTCCGCTATGCTGACATCTGTTGTGTGACCCAAAGACTCTCCGTAGGAATTATTCAAGCGCGTTGTTCATGCTGTCTGCTAGATAACAATTTCAGAATAATCTGCAGATCTATATGATTATTTGCCTGCTTCGATCGCAAAATATCTGCATATTTTTTTCAAGCATTCTATTACCACATATAAATCTACATCTCTCTAGATCGAGTGTTGCCGGCGTTTAATTCCGTGACTTGTAAAATTTTTAAATAAGAATGAGCGAGCAGTAATTTGACGAGTAGCCTTCCTGCAAATTTCCCTTGATGAAATCCCAAGGCATAGCCAGTTGTTTTCGTGAGCAAAGACAATAAATATGAGAGAAAAGTGAGATGCGAATGTCTTTTTTTTTTTTTTTTAGCTTAATAGCAGCTTTACCCTCTCCTGCAGTCTTCGTCTAAATTTTGCAAGGTCTCTCCTTATCTTCTGCCTTGTTCGGTCAGTTTCGAATTCTGAAGCTAGATCATTGGCATCGGCCTCTCCGTCCTCATTCATATTTACAGAGGGGGACCTCATCAAGAAACCAATTTTTGTTACGGCAGATAACCGGCTGAAGTATCGAGCGATTTGCTGCTGTATCAACCGGTCAGTCTTAGACAACATTTCTGGCTGGTGTCGTCTCTTAAACTCTCTCGATATTTGGGAAATCACATTAGAGGCGGTTGCCTTACTAGTTTCCTCCCTTGCCTAGCGCACGTCTAGGAGATAATTCCCTGCTTTCTGAGAAAAGGTGGCTGTTTTTTGTGTTTTTCAAAGAGCCCATCCAAAGTCCACTTGGCTAGTTAGGGATTGTTCGTCAGAATTTTTACCTGAGGTCCGACCTCGAACGTAGCCGTCCCCATGGCTAGAAATCGAAGACATCATGGCGGCTAAGCATGCGCATAAAAGACAAATTACGGAGTTTAAATATGGTGGCTGCATAAGGCTTTCTGTGGGAAAATTTGAAAATCAGACACAGTGTACTAAAAATGCCTTCGTCTGAAATGTATTAGAAGAGTGTCCAGATCACTCACCTCTGTTCTCAAACTCTTACGATTTCGCTACGATCTGTCCCAGTCGAAGAAACTTTAAACCTTTTTGGTGCCCTAATTGTCTTAAAATGGCTTATGTTGGTCAGCCAAAGCTTCTCCTGCAGCCACAACAAGGGTTGTTTTATCAATTGCCCACGTCTGTTTGATGTCTTCGAAAGCCTACCTTCTAATTGAAGGCTATTTGAAGTCATAAAAGTGTCAATTCACGCTGCCAAACGACTGCCAAAAGTCAAAAAAAATTTTTTTTCTCATGGGTCTTGTTCCCAGTAGAGACGTTGACTCAAAAACTAAAATTATAGGATCTGAAAACATATCAAAGAACTCTTCGATCGCCATTTTGTAAAAACATAGTAACCTAGCCTGTTATGGACAATACCGCTACAGGGCAGCTACTGAAGGCTCAAAGATTGACATAGATTGCAGCATTGGCGCGAAAATAATTTGACTTGAAAAACAAAATAGTAAGCTTCTTACTTGGACAAGGTTTTAACAGCTTCTCAAGCAATATCTTGGAAAGAAAATAAGAAAGAAGTTATCAGCGCTGCAAAATGTCTGATACACCTCCATTTGATCCATTTTTAAAATGGAAGTTGAGGATTGAAAGTCCCTCTTTAGCCTATGCTGCTCGTGTTGCGTTCGCGACATCAGCCGCTGACTGACTTCGATTTCTAGCCATGCCTATAGAATGGCAAGCCGGTCTTAGTCCATTTCCTCTTGATCTTATCCTAAGCGGAATTTTTTTGTCGGCTTCACTGTGTTTGTCTTTGTCAGGGTACATTTGGATGGCAGCCAATGACGGAAACGTCTTGATACACCCTTTTTTTTAGCAAGAATATCTCGCTTTCTTGTTCCGTCTATATCGGATTGGGTATAGTTCTCGCGATGACCCGCTTTCAGAAATCTGTGCACGTTGCTGATAACCACCCGCTTCTACGACTAGTTTGCTGAAGGATTCTAATGTGATGAGCCTAGTGAGACCCTGAGGCGCACCAAACTATGCAAGTTGGTCTGCGCTATAAACTTGTCGCAGTTCTTAAGTCAGAGGGAGGATCGCCCACCTCTATCTATGTGAGCGCCTCTACAGTACCTGCGTATCCCTAAGAATCATATGATATAAAGTTCATCTCAGTCACAAATCACCAGTTAGGAAAACTGATGTTCAGATAAGCGCTCTTCTTGCCCTTCTTCCCTATTCATTGTCGACTCCAAGATAGCAGCTACAGTAGGCGCTCTATTAAGGTTTACAGTCACCTTGCCGCCACCAGAAAGACTCGCCACCAGCTTTAATTTCTTCTGCCATCTGCAGATTCATCTCTCTCTCACTTTATGTCTCCGATTTTTATGAGGAGGAAACCCGAAGGTCTGAATCTCACATCACGTTGTGCACGATATTTGAGGTACATAGTGAATTCACGGCCTTCGTAGTCTCCAAATAAGTCAATACGCGCTAGAATAAGCTCCATCTCGGACGAAACGAATGTTTGGGATACATCGACGTCTCTCAAATGTTTTTTTTTTTTAAGCTGTATACCCATGAATTTAGAGGTATGAGCTGTTGCCGTCCCTGGCCAGCGCGAGAAAAGTAATATTTGGTTGCACAGTTAGTTGCAAATGAACAAGACAATTGCACCATCTTGACTTTATCAATTCGAGTGTTAGATTGAATTGAGGGCTTTTTA